CTGTGGGTGGGTGGGCGTTAGTGTGTGCGTGCGCGCGTGTGCGTGCGAGCCTGCGTGCGCGTAAGAGCGGTACGTGTGCATGCGTAGTGCGCGCGCGTGTATAGACACATAATACAGTTTCAAAACACAGCGCGCTAAATATGTGTCCGACTATAGAGAAACATGGTAAATTTCGGCGACTGCCTGCGTATCTGCGAATTGCAGAACGCCATCTTTTTCGTGCGGCCAACGACGATATGCACACAATATAGTGCTGGACATAGTCTCCGGTCGACGATTTTACCGCCCGCACCTGTTATAATTATAATATCTACCGCTCTTTTTAGCGGGAGGCGCTACCATCCAATGGCATTAGGAAATGCCATGTTGGAATCTGACCTCGTAGCGCCATCTAGTGGGATTGGCCTTCAGAAACATTGATATTACACAAATTAATATTTATTTTACTTTCTACTAATACTAATTTTCTTTTAATGCATAATTGCAATAATGCGTAATTTTTAAATCATCACCAATTAAGTCGTGGAAACCAACTTTACAGACAGCTGGACGCACCAGAGAGATAGATTCGCTACATAACCGCTACGTAATTTAAGGGAAAGACCACAATTTTCCTTCATAGAGCGGTCTTCGTTCTGTGGTATAAATATCGTTATTAAATGACGTTTATTCAACGTAAATGAACCAATGTGTGCCGAGTGTTTTATGCTTCGAAAAGATGTTCCCATTGCAATGTGGCAGTTAGGGGGGGGATTTAAATAGCTTCAACGTGACCAGTCTCTCTGACTTCATATCGGCGGCACAGCGGGGAACCCATGGGGCCGGGTGATGCTTCGAGCAAATTGAATATCATAGACCGGGTTTTACAAAGCACACGTACTGTCAGTGTGCCAGGCTTCGGTTGGAACGTATAAGAACGGCCGAAGAAAATTATCTTGGTAGTCAACGACGACCGACGTCGGAGCGCCATTTTTATGTACATTACCACTGCCTACCTACTCTAAATAGCTTTCTAGTTAATTACGTTCCTGCAACTGGAGCGTGGCTTTACAGCGCCGCACTTACTCGAGGCACCCCCAGACTGTCTCAAAACACAACGCGCCAAATATGTGTCCAACTATATAATATATAGTTAGACACATATTTGGCGCGCTGTGTTTTGAGACTGTATTATGCGCTATATTATGTATCTACACACGCGCGCGCACACGCATGCACACGTACCACCCTGAAGAACAGTGCATAATGTAGCTTGCTGAGAGAAAGAGAGAGAGAGAGATAGAGGGGTGGGAGACTAAGGGAAGGCGACAGGAAAGATAGCTGAGAGCGGTAGAAGAAGAAGGAGGCTGAGCGAGGAACAGGGGAGGCAAGGGGTAGGACGGGAGGGGGTAAAGTTTCCGTTTTGCACCCTACAGGCTAGGGCGCTCTGCCAATCATAAACACAGAGTTACTGATAAAAATTTATGACATTAATCTATGCCGAGGTACCCCGTAACCATATTAAATGCATACGCGTCACAAAATATAGCTCCTCTGGTGTGATAATGCGCATGCGCTAACACACTAACATAGCCAGACGGTGTACTGACTGTTATATGCAGCGGGCACCTTACATGCAAGGTCCTCGTCCAATTTCTTACGTAAGGTCTACCGATGGAATGTTATGATGTAAATCTATGCTAGAATACTGGCTCCCCATTTTAAATGTGTAATTATTGCAAAACAGTGTTTTTCTCGGGAGATATTGCGCATGCGCGAGCTTTCGTTTAGGCGTTCAGTACGGACTGAAGAACACTGCATAATATAGCTTGCTGAGAGAAAGAGAGAGTGAGAGAGAGAGAGAGAGAGAGAGAGAGAGAGAGAGAGAGAGAGAGAGAGAGAGAGAAGTGTGTGAGACTGAAGGAAAGCGGCAGGGAAGATAGCTGAGAG